TTGGAAAAGAGTATATGCTATGTTACAACAAATTTTGCTCTGTAAAGTGCCACTAATTCCAGAATTGTTTTTACTAAGTATGATACCCGATAATATAGATAAGTCAAAGGATCACATAGTTATATACATTATTACGGCAACCAGTATCATGTATGCTAGAAATTGGAAAAGTCCGACGGTACCGGAACAAGAAGATCTTATTGAAAAGATACGGGAAATAGCCGAAATGGATATCTTATCAGAAGTCATGAAAGATCAACCCCTGCAAAAGGCAATAGAAAGAAGGGACTTATTTAATAAATGGACTGAATCAACAGGCAGTAGCTGAACATATATGCTGAAATGAGAACTTTATATACAAGGCAGAAAAGAGTAAATAGAATGATTCAAAATTTGATATGGCAATAGGTATAGATTGGATATTAGTATGTCAATGTCTCCCCTCTTCCTCACAAATCCCAATTCCCTTTTTCCTTTGTCACCCCTTATGTTAAAAAAAATTTTTAAAATTGAAAAGGAAAAAAAACTGATGATCATACCAAAGCACAATGTATGTTTAGAAAAAGAACCACCCAGTAGACTTTAAGGGATGGGGGTGCAAGTAAGGAAACAGACTGTGTTATCTGCTTGACCATCTCTCATTGGCTGGTTCATGTGTTGGCCTGTCTTTAGACATCTGTCAAAACTTAATACAAAAAGTCCATTGTTTTTAAAGTCTGACCTGAAAGGTTTCATTCTCTTTGAATAGCAGTCTATTTTTTTGAAAAGCCAGACTACATAATAAAAACTTTTGGGGCTGGGGCATTCCAAAACCAAAGGGAAAAGAGTTTTCCAAATCATTGCTTAAGGAAGCATGAGAGAAAAGAAAGATTCTAATGCTGTCTTAAACTATATTTCTAGGAAAGGTGGCATTTCTCTGAAACCTAAGTCTGTAACCACAGAGCTTCAGATGCCGTTACTTCTACCTTTATGTCCCCTTACCACTGGAAGGACAGATCCTGAAGCTGAGGCTCCAATACTTTCGCCAGCTCATGAGAAGAGAAGACTCCCTGGAAAAGACCCTGATGTTGGGAAAGTGTGAAGGCAAAAGGAGAAGGGAGACGACAGAGGACGAGATGGCTAGACAGGGTCACCGAAGCGACCAACATGAATTTGACCCAACTCCGGGAGGTGGTGGAAGACAGGAGGGCCTGGCGTGCTTTGATCCATGGGGTCACGAAGAGTCTGATATGACTTAACGACTAAACAACCACAACCACAAGGGGGAGCTGATGGCCTTCCCTCCAATCTAGTTGAATGCCATCAACAAGATGGTGGGAAGAAGGTATTGCAGTCACAGTCAGGTGACAGAAGGGGGCAATGGGACTTCACATTGATCTATAAAGCTTCTGGATCTGGTTCTTCAGATCTCTTAGTTTAGTTGCTGCCTTTAATACCTGCTTCTCTGTTGGCTGGTCTTCCAGCTCAACCTGCTCTATGCAGTCTTACTTCGCCAATCCCAGCTTGCCAGTCCAATGACTACTAGGCTCTGTTTATCCTGACCCGGATACGACAATCCTCTAACTCAGTGGTCCCCAACCTTGGGCCTCCAGATGTTCTTGGACTTCAACTCCCAGAAATCTTGGCCAGCAGAGGTGGTGGTGAAGGCTTCTGGGAGGTGTAGTCCAAGAACATCTGGAGGCCCAAGGTTGGGGACCACTGCTCTAACTCAGTGGTTCCCAACGTTGGGTAGCCCAGATGTTCTTGGACTACAACTGTCAGAAGCCTTCACTACTAACTGTGCTGGCCAGGGTTTCTGGGTTACCCAACGTTGGGAACCCTTGCTCTAACCCATCAGCCTAGTCAACCACTTTGGTGTACTGACGGTTGTTCAACTCAATCCTGCTTTGATCATTTTTCATGAAGGTAGTAAGAGTAGTACACATCTAAAGCAAAATTCAAGAAACTTTTAGACACCATGAGACTTCTGAAAACATTCCATGCCATTCCTAGAATTTTTTCCCCCTTTTCATCTACTTTAAAAGTGTCCAAAGCAGATCCCAGCAAAAATGTTTGCTTCAAAAACAACATACTACAGTACAATAACCAACAGGAGATATGCAAAATTATAGATTTTGGTTTATTAATACAAAATTACTCCATTAATTACTACATTGATTAATGGAGTAAACACTGGGTAGCATTGAGAAACAAGTTTTTGATCACCAGTAGTAAACCAAAACAAAGTGGATTCAATAAGCTTCTCAGAAGAAAGAGTTGCCCACAAATGGCTCTTGGGAGCAACCCCAACATTCTGACGGGAGTCCCTTCACACTGTGTCTACAAGCTGACAGAGTTCATGAACGTGGAGAAAAGACCCTTAAGCCCAGACACATGACTATTCTGGACAAACCCAGAACACCCTATCTAGCATAGACACTGGCCATGATGCCTTGGGATTCTGAGAATGAAAGCTCAAAAAAATTACCTTTTCCAAACTCTTCAACACTCCCTGCTCTGTATGTGCACTTGCCAAATCTCAGAAGGTTATCTTGAGTGGGGGAGAGCACACACAACAGGGACTGCAATGGGCACAGGATGCGGCAACCAGACTGGTGTCAGGTGTGAACAGGTTTGAGCACATCTTTCCAGTTCTGGTTGGCCTTCTTTGGCTCTCTGTTGCTTTCCAGGCCAGGTTTAAGGTCTTAGGGCTAGGTTATATAGCCCTCAATGGTTTGGGCATCATTGTTTGCTAGAGCATCTTCTCCTCAGAACTTCAGTCCGTATCAGTCGTTCCTCACAGGCTTCACTTCTTTGGGTTGACACTCCAAGGCAGGTCAACAGTTATCACACCTTCTCAGTCATACACTCCTGACCGACGTCAGTCAGGGCCTCTCTCTATCATCTTTTAAGAGGATGCTGGAGACGGTCTTCTTTCAAGAGGCATTCCGTGATATCTTTATTTATTTATTTATTTATTTGGTCTTCTTTCAAGAGGCATTCAGTGATATCTTTCTTCAGGTCTACAGCTTTTTTATTTCCACCATTTTGGAGATTTTGAATGTATGATATATGTTTTATTTATTGATATCGTCAGGGTGGGGTGGATGGGATTATGATCTGTTGCTTACTGTTTACTGCTTTTTTATTCTGTCTGTAAACCACTTAGAATAGTGCTCAGCACTAAGTCAGCAGTACAGAAATTTAGGAAATCAAGTATTTAATTAAAACATCCTAGGTTCCAGGCTTAAAAGTAGTCTTCTCATTCTTTGTAGAGAACCATCTGCACCAGGGAAAAGGCGTGTGCCTCTCCAAATGTTAGTGGACTGCAACTTTTATCAGCTCTCGACAACACAGTTCATGAATAGGGATCAAAGTTTGTGTCATCCAACAAACAAAGGGCTACACAGTCCCCACCCTAGCCACACAGAGAGGGCCCTACATATGAACAACAACAACAATTTTTTTGTTTTACAGACCATACGGCGTATGTCTCCAGTCCCACCCATTTTCCATGTTTTTCTGATGCAAGAAAAACATTTCTTAAAACATTTCTTAAGAAATGTCTCTCTGATGCAAGAGAGGTTCTGTTTCTCACCCAAAACTGATCCAAATCTTTCGTTTGCAGTCCTCTCCCTAATTAAGAACCTATAGTCATTGGGGTTTTTTTGCCCCATGCATCCTCCTCTAACAAAACAACCACTCTCACTGGCTGAATTTTACTAGGTCTACAGCTTTTTTATTTCCACCATTTTGGAGATTTTGAATTTATGACATATGCTTTATTTATTGATAAAGTCAGGGTGGGTGGATGGGATTATGATCTGTTGCTTACTGTTTACTGCTTTTTTATTCTGTCTGTAAACCACTTAGAATAGTGCTCAGCACTAAGTCAGCAGTACAGAAATTTAGGAAATCAAGTATTTAATTAAAACATCCTAGGTTCCAGGCTTAAAAGTAGTCTTCTCATTCTTTGTAGAGAACCATCTGCACCAGGGAAAAGGCGTGTGCCTCTCCAAATGTTAGTGGACTGCAACTTTTATCAGCTCTCGACAACACAGTTCATGAATAGGGATCAAAGTTTGTGTCATCCAACAAACAAAGGGCTACACAGTCCCCACCCTAGCCACACAGAGAGGGCCCTACATATGAACAACAACAACAATTTTTTTGTTTTACAGACCATACGGCGTATGTCTCCAGTCCCACCCATTTTCCATGTCAGGTCTCTCTGATGCAAGAGAGGTTCTGTTTCTCACCCAAAACTGATCCAAATCTTTCGTTTGCAGTCCTCTCCCTAATTAAGAACCTATAGTCATTGGGGGTTTTTTGCCCCATGCATCCTCCTCTAACAAAACAACCACTCTCACTGGCTGAATTTTACTATCCCATCAATATATTCCCATTGATAGGCTTCCCCAAAATCCAGAGGCTCCAAAAAAACTATAGTGTTTGTAGTTCTAAAATCCCACAAAAGACAGAGAGAGAGAGAGAGAGAGAGAGAGACCCAGGGGCCTTCCTCCTGAGCCTCCCTCCTTCTGCATTAGCACATAAAAACATTGTCAAAATGGTATGCAAGGTCAAAAGCTTCAAAGCACTCTCAGCTACTGTACTTGAAGTAGTGAGAAGATGAAAGGAGGGCCATATGGCTTCTGTCATGGTAAATAAAGCCAATAGTAGGGCAGATTAAGAATCTGAATGTTGCTTTCCCCACACCACTTTGATTCCCGTTTCCCCCCCCCTTCCTTTCTGTGACACCAACAGTGTCTTTACAAAGCAGCTTCTCATTTAGCCATATTTACTGCATTTCCCACCAAACCCAGCAAGACTTATTATCTAGCTACAGTAGGACCCTCCAAAGAGGAAAAGCTGGAAATTAAAAATGCAAAGAGAAAGTAATTAGATGACCAGGGGGTACCACAGGACAGACCAGTTAAGAGAGATGTAGCTTTAACATTCTGCAAGGCCTGCAGGAGGTAAAAGTTTATGAATACATCAAATATGCATGCATTAGGACTTACCAATTTCTTCAACATCTTCCAGGAAATCATTATATTCCACAAGACTGGGAAAGTCATCTTCTCTTTTATTATATCTTTGAGAGAAGGGGGAAATAAAAAAATAATAATACATTTATATACAGCCACGTCAAGATGACAACTTCAGATGCATAACTATTCCTCAAGCAGACCCAAGTTTCCTGGGCTCATCTAAGCTGACCCTGTCTGAACTCCTGAGCAATTCAGCAGCTAGTAGAAATATTTTCCCAAACAAACAAAACAAAACAAAAAAAGAATAATCAAAACAGAAGTCTTAAAATTGATATGAACTATAGGTCCTAGAATCCTCCAACAGCAATGTTATTGTGGTTTCATTTTAGTAGTAAACGCCCAGAATCCCCAAGCCAACATGATCGATGGCCATGAAGTCATGATGGCTAAGGGATTCTAGGACAGTGGTTCCCAACCTTGGGCCCACAGATGATCTTGGACTACAACTCCCAGAAGCCTTCACCACCACTTCTGCTGGCCAGGATTTCTGGGAGTTAAAGTCCAAGAACATATGGAGGTCCACTGTTCTAGGAGATATAATATCCAAAAGTAACTTCTCAATTCTCTTCCTTCACTTTATTCCAACAGCACTATGTCTTGGCGACTGAATGGAATTTCTTGAATGGTGACTGTACAAAAGCATCTATCTCCCCTTCCTGGTGTGTAGGAACTACATCAGCATATCCTTATACTGTATTAGGAGCCTGCCCAGATGTTAAAATCATCAGGAGAGGCCTTTCTCTCAGTCCCACCACTTTCCCAGAGAAGGCCTTCTTTACCACTGCTCCCAGACTCTGGAACTCCTTCCCCCTGGAGGCCATGTTGGCCCACCTTTGTTATTATTATTTTTTATTATTAGTTTGATATGCCGTATTTCTCCTGGAGGCCAGGTTGGCCCACCTTTGTTATTATTATTTATTATTATTAGTTTGATATGCCGTATTTCTCCCAACAAAGGACCCAAAGCAGCTCACAACATCAAAATTCACACAACTTAAAAAAAGTTAAATATTAAAAGATAAATTAAACAATATATGATTTTAAACTACAATTAAAAGATTAAACCATGAAAACATTTAAAAAATTAAAATTTCTGCTAAAATGGGTTTCACAGGGATTCAGAGATTTGCTGTCCTTCTGCAAGCAGACAAAGATCTTTCTCTTCCAGCAAGTTTTCCCTTAGTGACTATCTGCCAGACAGAGAGGGTTTTTTAATGGAATGTTGTGCCTTGTTGCTCTTCATGTGTTTTTGTGTTGATTTTGTTTAGTGCTTTAGTGCGGTAAATGTATTCTTCTTGTATATTTGTATAATTATTGCTTTTAGCTTTTAAGCATTGTCTTTTACTGGCATAATCCACCTTGGGTCCTTTTTAAAGAGAAAATAAGGAAAACCATTTGAAATAAATCAAATAAATTATGGGAAAGAGGTACATGGCAAGACCTTCAAACCCAGGAGGATCAAGTAAGCTCTCCAACAGTGTATGTTCGCAAACCAGACAAGCATAGGATAATTAGATGAAGAGGTTAAGGATGAATTGCTAGAAACACCTGCAAAAACTAAGCACTGTAAATAGAATGTGAAAGAGACAGATCTATCTTAAGTTTGTAATCTGAACAACCAGGATCTTACACCACCTTAAAGATTTAACTAATTATATCTGGCATATACTTCTGTGGACTAAGGTTGAGAGATATGAAAGCCAAAAAAAATTGAAACATCTGAATGGAAAGAGTTTTTCCTTCCATTTTTCTGCCCAAAGGCAAATTTTAACTTTTTTCCCCAACACACAAAAAATGGAAACTTCTAGGAACACAGGAAAAACGCTAAAATTATTTTCTCTTTGGGGATGAATTTTTTATTTGCTAAAAATGTCAGGAATTATGTAGTATGAAGATGTGAACACAAGACTAAATCAGAGAAGGGTGATTCCTGAACCTAGTGTAGACATAAAGGTAAAGGTAAAGGTTCCCTTTGACAATTTGTCCAGTTGTGTCCAACTCTAGGGGGTGGTGCTCATCTCCATTTCCAACCCATAGAGCTAGCGTTTGTCCCTTGACAATCTTCCGTGGTCATGTGGCCAGCATGACTAGACACAGAACGCTGTTACCTTCCCACTGTGGTGGTACCTATTTATCTACTCGCATTTTTGCATGCTTTCTAACCGCTAGGTTGGCAGGAGCTGGGACAAGCGACGGGGGCTCACTCCAATGTGTGGATTCGATCTTACGACTGCAGGTCTTCTGATCTCACAGCACAGAGGCTTCTGCGGTTTAACCCGCAGCAGCACCATACCCCTAGGAAAGTGTACAGATAGAGAATACTTATATTTTCAACAGGTTTCCGCACCTACAGAGTGCTGCCATCTCGTAAGAGAAGTAAATGGGAGAGGCTTCACTCTTTGTGGAAGCCAGCCTGCCTTTTATCCAGCAGCATTTTTCTGGCTTGATGGAGGCAATTACGACAAAAGAAAATTGCAGCTGAAATCCAGTAACATAACTCAAGACTGCATAAGGCTGATGACATCATCATATGCAGCTGTATTTTTAGAAATTAAAGCTTTCCCATTCTCTCCCCCTTTGAAAGGTCCCAAGACTACCTTGGTATCCTTTTCATAGTGGGGAAGCCCTCGGGGCCATAGCACAGGAGGAAATCTTTAATTTCCAAAAAATCACTGCCATCGGTAAGCAAGCACCTTGGGACTGTGGGCAACTTCTGCTAATGGATTTCTGCCTGTATGTTTCCAAACAGCACACTCTATTTCATTTACAGTAATTTGTAAATTTTTGGTAATTGTTAGATAGCAAAATATTAAGATTATTGTGCTTAAGTAGCACACTGTATAGGAGTTCCCTACTGTCTTTTTCAAACAGCACATGTCTGCAATATTGTTTGCACAGAATGACTACTTTTTAAGTTTTCGCAATTCATAAATAAGACAATTGCATAGGCCAACTAGTTTATGAATGAAGCATTTGATATTATTATAATAAAGATGTCTTCCTTTGCTATGAGGTCAAGTATTGCATATATTTCCATTTTCTTCACCAAAAAAGGGTCTGTTCCCCACCCTAAATGGCTTTATAATTTCCAGAAATGTTATATTTCTATTTTAGCACACCTTTTCAGATGCATTGCATGTAGTCTCTAACATGCTGCTCTGTGCATCTGAAACAGGAGACAACAGTCAAGAGAGGGAAAAAGTAGACGTAGGATCAGTTAGAGCAGAGGTGGGCAAGGTACATCCCTCCCTTGTTAAAAACAATTAAAATAATTTTTTTGCTGAAAAAGTCCCCTTCTGCCTAGAAGGATGATTTTGCCATGTTTGGGAGGAGTGCATTCAGGATGTCATCAACTACACACACCCCTAACACACACAAAAATGCTTAAATGTTTGTTTTTTTAAAGCCACTAGAGGGCGGAAGAAACCTTTTCATTTAAAAAAAAATAAAGAAAAATATTTTGGGAGGTGGGGCATGGGTCCAGGTACGACCCTCCAAGGTCAAGACGTGTATTTGTGCAGCCCCTGACCTCTGAAAGCAGCCCATGCTTGTCTGGACAATGTGTAGAAAAGCGAATAAAATATGCTACTTACTCTAATTTAAAACAGAGTATGCATACACATTAAGATATGAAAATCTACACAAACAACACTGCACATATGCCAACCAAGCAGACTTATATTTTTCTTGCTTTTTTAAAAAAACGTGTGTAATAAAACAAATAACACAAATTAAAACTGTACGTCGTACTGTTATACATATTTTGACAAACAGATTGCCTCCAGGGACTCATTTATTATAAAATGTCTGCATGTTAACAATCATGTATCTAAATATCCCAGCACATCAGGCCAAGGATTTAAAAAAGGTGCTCAGCCTATAGTCTGAACACCTGAGACAACCACCACATCCTATATTTACTTACATGAATGGATTTGCATTGGGAATAAAATAATTATTATATTCTGCTCTAGTGATGAAATGAAAGGTAAGGATGATGCTTGGAAAAGTTGCTTTTTTGGAGAACAACATCCAGAACTTCTATCCCAAAAAAATAACTTTTCTCAGCTCTGGGGAAGAATCATAGGCTTCAATAGGCTTTGTCTTCATGGGAAAAAATGTCTTCCAGGGGATTTTAATATATAATGTTTAAACAGGCCCCTTCCACAGCTAACACAAGTTCTACTTTGAAGACCAGAACTGAAGAGGCCTTTCTTATTTTAGGGGGTTTACAACACTCACATTTTTAACACCTTCTTCCGGATTTCCACCTCCTTGTCAACAGCTGGGTCCTCAAAGAGTTGCACTCGGAAGTTGCTCTTCCGCAGAGGGGTGTCACACTCCTGGCAATTTCCAGCACCCCGGACAAACAGCAGCTCCACGCAGCTTTCACAGCTGAAAGAAGGAAACCACATGGTTGTTGTTTTTTTAAAAAGCCAATGCTTTGCAAACTATAAAATAAAATAAAATAATATCATTCAACAAACTACATCCATGTTCTCTACAGTATTTATGTTTTCACAAGCAGGGGCCCTTGCTTTGCCCAGGTGAAGACTCAACTCCTCAGGAGCAACTAATGCATTAAGTCGTTACTAGGGTTAAACGAGGAACATTCACAGGTGGAAGGAAACATGCTAAATATGCTTTCAAGCCAGGATCGAATTTTAGTGACCCCAATAGAGCTTTCAAGGTAATTTGAGATATTAGAAACAAATGCAAGAGAAGGTGACACCTTTATTATACTTTTTTTAAAAAATCAATCAAACAGGTAGCTTTCGATGGTAATGCAATTTCTTTAAGCTGTGCATTGAGATTTAGGGAACAGTTTGGAAATGCACCTGTGTGAACGCGCATGCACACACACACACACACATACACACACACACACACGTCTGGTCACTGAACTAGAAAAGGTGCAGAAGAGAGTGACTCAAACGATGACAGGGCTGGGGCACCTCCCTTAGGTGGAAAGGCTGCAGCGTTTGGGGTTCTTTAGTCTAGAGAAAAGGCGCCTGAAGGGGGACATGAAGGAGACGTCTAAAAAGATGCACGGGATGGATTGAGTGAATAGAAGGAAGCTCTTTTCCCTCTCATGAAATACTAGAGCCAGGGGACACCCACTCACATTGAATGTTGGGAGAGTGAGAACAGACTCCACTCACACTGAATGTTGGGAGAGTGAGAACATACCAAAGAAAATATTTCTTGACCCAGCGTGTCGTTAGTCTGTGGAACTCCTTGCCACGGGATGTGGTGATGGCCTACCTGGCCTAGAGGCCTTTCAAAAGGGATTGGACAGATTACTCGAGGAAAAGTCCATTCCAGGTGATGAGCCATGATGGGGAGGTATAATCTCCAGGATTAAAAGGGAGGTACTTCAAAAGGCCAGATGCAGGGGAGGGGGATCAGGAGACAGGCATCTCGTTGTCTCGTGTGCTCCTAGAGGCTCCTGATGGGGCCACTGTTGAGATACGGGAAGCTGGACTAGATGGGCCTTTGGCCTGATCCAGCAGGGTTCTTATGTTCTTATGAGTCCCAAAAATTCCTGGCAGATGACTGTGTGAGGTCTGCTTCTAAAGGTCAATTTAAATGTCGGCTGCAAGTGGCTTTTGGGTGGGCAGGGCAGGTTCAAAGTACACCTCAGGGTTAGCGCTTGGCTGGAGTTTTCCTCCCAGTTCTTCAAATAAAGAACCCCCCAAATAATCTGAGACTCCCATATATATCTTCTGAACTATCCACAAAATCTTGGTGTGCCATCTGAGAAAAATGGATTCCCATCAAAAGCTAGCTGATTTTTAGTTGTCTAAATAAGGTTATCACCTGCTTTTGCGCTTATATTATTTTAAGAACCCTGTGGTCATTCTTCTATTTTTTTTTAGCAGATAGTTAAAGAGTGTTTTAACCTGTTCCACATCCCCAATGTGCTTCCATGGCTGAGTGGGGTTCAAACCCAGGCCGCTTGAGTCCTATTTCACCACTCTATCCACTACAAAACACTGGGTATCAGAGGCAAACATGGCATATATTTGGGGGGGGGGGGGGAATCCCTTCCAGTTTCTCTCCTCTCATCCTACTCTCATTCTGTCTTCCTGTGCTGTTCTCTCTCCTTCCCAAGCCTCTCCAAAGGCTGAAGAAATTAATTTTGGTGACCCTAACCTCTGGGATCCCGAAGCCCGCTGAGTCACTTTGCCCCTCCCTTTTTCTCATGTTCTCTCTTCTCTGCTTGTTCTTACTTTCTTCTTCCTACCTACATTTTCCTTCCATGCTAATTTGCACATTGTCTCTTCTCCAAACCTGCCTCCCAGTGAGCCGACTACCACCATGAGCATCACCAGGGCCACCAAAACCTTTTCTGAAGACACAAGAAGAACTTACTGGACTTTATGTTTTGACAGAGTTGCGTTCCAGGCAAATGCCAGGGTAGTTGAAGCATCACTCAACTCATCCAGAAAGAAAGCATGCATCACAAAAGAGAGAGAGGGAGAGGGAGGGCCAAAGAAAATATCCATTTTCATAGAACGGCGTATGTTAATTTATATGTAGGGATACCAATTTAGAAATGATTTTTATAATTAAAACGTAATTACAATGCATCTCGCTTGGTTTAGGAAGTCTGTGACCAGGTGACCTTTTAGCTGGCAGAAATCTGCTGTTCCCTCTTCTGCCTTCCGATGGTTATTTATCTCTACATCAGACGTGGGCTAGAGAAATCCTTCCAAAGGTCACATGGCCACTCCTCGCTAAGAAGGGTCTGTTGCTCACTGTTTTAAAAAGGTCGGACAAAGACATAAAAAGTTCCTCACCTCTGGTCTACACAGTTCAGATATAAACAACTACACCTAGCCTAACCAGAGGTCATATTAAGCTAGTTAAACTGGATTTCAGAAGGAAGAAAAACTTTTGAAACAAGATGATTATAGGTATGACCAACCAAATGAACACCTATCACTTTGGCTTAAGGGGAAGTAAAGAGAGGAGAAGAAGGGAAAGGGGAGAAGAGAACTAACTCTGCACAGGAAGAAAATCCAGTTTTTATACCCAAAATTAGGTACTTACTGTATAAACCTATGGAAACAACACAGATCTGGACAAGTTTATGTTGGAAATGAAAAATATAGAGAATGGGCAACTCAAGACACTTGATCTTGACAGCCAATACATTGCAGAGGCTAAAAAGAAGCCTCCTCTGCTCGTATGCTTTGGACATTTAGCCATATTAAGGGAAGCAAAGAAAGGGGATGTGGAGGAATGAACTAAGACAAGTTTAACACAGAGCTGGCCGTTGGGGGAACTCAAGGTTAAGAGAGACTGAGACTAGACAAGTACCCAACATCATTAAATCAAGACATTTCCCACCCAATTTGGTCTCCCACGTGTGCTATCTGCAAAAACAACTGGCCAGTAAATTATTTTAAATGACTCTGGGGAGAGGAAAGAGAGCCAATGTGGAGCAATGGATAAGAGTGTAGGATGGAAAAGATCTCAGCCACAGAATCTCACTCCGGGTGTCAACCATAAACCATTCCCTGAACATATCATATACAGTACCTTGAAAATCAACTGACCTCAGACCTAGATATTAGGTGCCTGGCTTTGTCTTAGAATCCTACAGAAATCCCATGGAAAAAAATCCATATGAAAACTGAACTAATATTGTAGACAAATATTTAAGTCAAAGATATAGGGGGTAAAATATATTTTAAGAATAAATGAAAAAAAACTGGGTGTTTGTCACAACTGACATTTAATTCCAGGATTAAACCAAATAATCACCGACAATTATTCAAAATTCATGACTATCAAAGTGTAAGTCTTTTCATTTTTGCAATCCTTCCAGGCAACATTGGCTTCTGTTTCTAAAAACCTTATTTAACTACATTGCTTCTACGTTCCATATGTACACATTTCCTTTAAAGTTGTTGTAACATCCAAATGACTTACAGTTATGTAAAAACTATATCTAAAATATCTAAAAGTAGATGAAAACTGAACTTAGGTCGTAGGCAAATACTTCCATCAAAGACATAGGAGCAAAATATCTTTTAAAAATATATATGAAAAGAACAATGAAAATGTTTTAATTTACATTATAAAAATACAAAAGCTTATAGACTTTATAAAGTCAGAGAATAAATCTCTAGAATATATCAGTGCAAAGGAAAAGCATTATGTGTTAAAGATGAATGCAAAAATATCAAAGTTCTTAGGATATGAACATATAAATTAAAAAAACTATTTCTTTAAAGCATCAAAGTTCTTAAGAATAAAAATATATTAAAGAAAATTATTTTCTTCACCTATTAGCATGTTAAGAATACAAAGAGAGAAAAATATTCGTAAAAAGCTAATCCAGCCTGGCTATTAAAGTCTATAATGGAAATCCATGTTTTCTGTATATTCTGTGCTGCTTCATTATCTTTTATTTATTTTATTTATTTAACTTATATGCTGCCCACACTTCTGAAAGGTCTCTGGGCAGCTTACAACTTTCTTCCCTTCTAGCAACACTTGCCTGGCATCATTTCAGTTCCTTCTTGAAAGGCTAACTCTCCTCAACTGTTTTTATACATTTTCCAAATTACTTTCCTTTCCTTTTCACTGTAAATATTTTCTTACCTCCTTACTTAAGTCTTCTGATTGTAAGAACCAGCTTTATTAACTACCTTAACGTAATTTCTCAGACTTCACTCTTACTTCTGGGTGAGGAAAAAAACATATTGATAAACATTTTCTTTTTTTTCTTTTTTTATTCATCATTCATATTGATACAGAATTACATGGAATCTTAATATTTTTATCTCAGGAATCTACATTTGACAAAAGTTGGTGCTATAAGGTTATACAATTTTCCTTTCATTGTCTTTCATTCACTATTTTATTATAATTTCATATCTATGTTTACAGATTCTAACCAAAACATTCTTTCAGTTGTTTATATCCCATTGACCCTGCTCTGCTGGATCTAGCTAATTGTTTTGAAAATGTATGTAAACAATTTTTTCAAGCTGCATTTTTTAAAAAGTACGCTCAGTTTAGGACATTTTTTCCTGCATACCCTCACCCTGCAATCATTCTAGGTCTCTTAAAACCTACAAGTTTTCAAACCTTGATAAAGTCACCGTAAATTGGAAGCAACTTGAAGACACGTAACAAACAAAATGGCCAAATTTTCTGATGACACTAATTATTCAGGAGTGTTGCAAACAATAGAAAAAGAGGCAGAAAGACCGGAAAAAGAGAACATGACAAAAAGTCTAGGATTTTGCAGACAGCTAAAAGAAGGCTTCAAGACAAAGTTCTCCTAGCCTTACACCCAAAGCAAACAAGATCAGCATTCACCCAAATTGCAGTTTAGCAACATACTGAATATGTTTCCTCTATTCTTCTCCCTCTTC